TAAACGTATTATAAAATTTGATTATAATTGTAAAAATCTATCGTTAAATTCAGGTGAATTCAGGTAAAAAATTAATAAATTACTTAGTAAAATTATTTACTTTTATAGTTGAATACTTTTATCATATCAAATCTAATTCGACAATGAATACTTTAAGAATATTAGAAATTAATGATTTTAATTGTTTGTATGGAAAAAGCTGGTTAAGCTACTTTTTATTTGAATAACGAATATTTTTTCGATTTTTTAGAGTAATAACTTAAACTAGATACGAATTTTAATCATTTGACATATTGTTGAAATAGTGAGTCTAGTGAGGGTTGGCAAAATAAATCGTAGCCACAAAAAGAACCACATAGTAAAATAATATTAACATGAATATAAATTTCTTCTCACGAGGGGAGACTATAGTGATAGGATCCTTTATATTTATTGAAGTTATTGAATCTAAATGAGATAAATATCAAATGATTTGAAAATTTTATTCTAACTCAAAAAAAATGCAAAATATTAATAGCCAAAGACGGTTTTGAACCTTGTACCGTAAGCATGTAAGACACAAGTGTTACCGACTCGGAAACTGTTCGTTGCTTTCGTAAATAGCCTTTAATAGGCTATTTATACTAACTCAAATTTAAAAATTACTTTTTCGACTTTAAAAAAATTAAGAATTTTAATAAGTTTAATTTCTTATGTCTTATANAACTAACTCAAATTTAAAAATTTAACCAATTAGTTATTATAAAATAAAATAAAAACAGAAAATGAATCAAACAAAAACTTAAAATATTCAATTTTTGCAAGGTTTTTGATGAGATTCGAATACTACACTTTTTAAAACTATTAAATTTTTCTTTAAAATTAAAAATTAAATTATATTTCTCAAGTAATCAATTATTTATTTAATAAATATGTTCAATTTTTGGGTTATATTTAAATCGTAACTACTTCATATTTAACTTTATGAAATCGTATTATATGGTGGTTTACCAACTATTTATAGATTTTAACGTGGTTAAAAAAAAATTGTTTGGTAAATTTTTATACTCTATATTGAAAGATTTTTAAAACATAATTAATATAAAATAAGTTTATAACACATATTATTATAAACTTATACTAACGGTTCTATGACTTAATTTTATACTTGGCTAAACTGTATTTAATGGTTATTATTATTTTTTGATGTGAAACATCTATAGCTGGGGGGTAAAAAAATTTTTGGCGTGGCGACGCGTCGCCCGCTATATATGTAAGCAACATTTCTCCCGCCACACTAAGCTTGGATACCTATTTAGTATACAGTGTTGTTTATTACGGTACACATAACCTGTGCTTTATCTAAAAAGAAAAGAATGGCGCCGAAATAACGAACGTTCGATAACACTACGTTGAAATGAGAAGTAATGATAACATTACATAATATTCGTACTGTACGTACATCATCGGATTTGTTTGGATAAACTTTTTGTTACATAATGTAAATGTGATTTATTTTATTTTAATTTTCATTAACGATTAATAAAAAATGTGTGACAGTGAAAGTGAGCAACCTCCTAAAAAGAAAACGCTTTACGACACACTATCAAGTCATCTGTAAGTTGATTATATTTCTATTATTAAAGTTTGTATTTATCAATAAGTTTTATTTTAGCTTTTGTTTAATTTTTATAATAATTTTTTTTTAGAGTAAATATTAGTAAAACTGAACGTCAAAAACGATACAGGGAGCAGAATAGACAGAAATTGAAACAGCGTGAAGCTGAAAGAAGAAAACGAATACAACATTCACAAAGTACTGCTGTGCCATCTACTTCTTCAAACACTAATATCATTGAAGTGAGTGATGAAGAAACAATATCTGTTATTTCCCAAAGTCCACCTAGTCATCTGTAAGTTTTTTATATTCATAGCATTAAATTTTGTATTTATTAGTATATTAAGTCTGTGTGTATTTCGTCTATTTAAAGCCTCGGTTAATGTAAATATAATTAAGATGCTTGAGTTTTTAAATATATTTAAGTCATATTTTACTGCCTTTTTTTTAATTACATAATTTTTTTTTTTTATAAATATTTTAGGAGCGAACAATCATTACAAAAATGGTCACAAAATATTATTATTGAAGCTGGAAATCACCAAGGTCAGTTAAACACAAGACACACCATTAATGTTAAGTAAGTTTTTATTTATCAATCTACTAGTACCACAATACACTAAGTTTTGTTTTAGTTGTTTTGTAAAAATTTTTATAATGTTTTGAATAATTTTTTTTTAGAGTAAATAATAATAAAACTGAACTTCAAAAACGACTTAATTTTATACTTGGCTAAACTGTATTTTATGGTTATTATTATTTTTTTTAAATGGTAACATATTATATATTTAATTAGCTTATAAAATATAAAATAACATAACCATAGAGAAAAAATCAACTTTCGGTTTCGGGAGTCTGACCATGTTTACTATACGTTTTTGAGGTTTCTGATTCCGAATTTGAGGTCGTAATAACGTCATCATGGTAGGGTTTCTCATAGGATCAAAAATATCCCATCATCGAGTCATATAACGATAAACTAATCACATCAAACCCCATAACCTTTTGAAATAATAATACCCGATGATACCTCGCTAAGAATCATAAGTATTAGAACCTTCACATTATCACAAACTTATTTCATATAAATTATGTTTTAAAAATCTTTTAATATGATAATTTCCCAAAAAACATTTTTTTCTTTAACGAGGTATATATATATATATATATATATATACAGGTTGATTTTTTTATCATAACCCACTCAATTACTTGCAGAATAAATATAATTTAAACATTTTTTTTTTTTGTTTTTTTTAGTTACACATTATTTTTGAATTATTAACTATGTAATACTTTTTAAGTTAATCCCGTATGCCTTATAAGTGCGTTAACTTTGTTTTTCAAATAGAAACACATATTTTTAATTTAATAAAATGTTTGAGTTTTTAATTTAATAGTAAATAGCATTTGAATTTTTAATATGACTATATTCGTTTATTAGATATAAACATTTAAAGTTTCAAATTTTTGAGTTATTATACATGTATAATACACAAGGGATTATAAATAAAGGTAGCTAATTGGATTTTTATGACATTACTGTCATAGTCACGGATTGTTTATTATCAATTATGGACTAATAATACTTTCTGTAATGTCAGTTAGTGTATTTACAAACTCATAACAATGTCACTTACTACCATTGATAATAACAATGCTATGTACCTGCTAATATCGATAAAAATCATAAAAATCAAATTAGCTACCTGTATTTATAATTTATATATAATAAACAAATAAAGTTATACTAAAAATTCAAATGCCATTTACTATTAAATTGAAAACTCAAACATTTTATTAAATTAAAAATATGTGTTCCTATTTGAAAAAACAAAATTGACACCCTTACCAGGCATAAGGGATGGACTTAAAAAGTATTAAATAGTTAATAATTCAAGAATAATGTGTAACTAAAGATAACCAAAATAAAAATGTTTAAATTATTATTACTCTTTAAGTAATTGAGTTGATTATGATAAAAAAATCACCCTGTATATAAATAGTTCGTAAACCAGCAAATATTACGATTTCATATGATTAAATATAAAGCAATAACGATTTAAATATATCCCAAAAATGTAGCATTTTTGTTAAACAAATAATTAAATAATTCAGAATTATAAATTTTTAATTTTCAAAAAAAATTTATTAGTTTTAAATAGTGAAGTAAACGAATCTCACCAAAAACCTTATAAAATTGAATATTTTAATTTTTTCTTTGATCCATTTTCTGTTTTTATTTTATTTTATAATTTAAAATTGGTTAACTAGTGTCTGAATAAGTTTACTGAAACAGGTAAAAATGAACTGTTATAGCAAAATATCTATTGTTATACTACAAATAATAATTTTTAATGTTATAATTGTTTATACAAATGATGAATTTAAAAAGAATACTGAAAATCAAACATCTATAACTATTAACGATTTGAATATACTCATCAGAGAATATCCTGCATTTATACATTTGAAATTACAAAAACAAGAATATTACACAGGAAAAGATATAGCTCGTTGTCCTATGCCTTACAACGAAAATACTATATTAGACGATCCCGATGTTGTGTCGTCTGATTTATTCAACCCAAGGGAATGTGAAAAACCTTGGACATGGACGCGAAAAAATGAAATAGATGTTCCTGTACCTATTAATGGTACTGTGGGTAAAAAATTAGGAGAAATCATTAAACCACGTATTAAAAACAATACTAATATTATACAATGTTATACTCACTATTTGAATGTTATTGAAAGTGTTGGTTTAACATTTGCAGATAGATTTTGTGTGTTTCAAATTGAAATTTGGGATAGAATTTTAGCATTAGTTAATAATATAGATTATAGAGAAAAGTTTAGTTTGTTTAATATAAAACCTAATATTTCTGCAATTACCTTGAATGTAATAAATTTTAGACGTCTCTTTGATAATATTTATGTTGCATTTAAACAGTATTATATTTCTACTCTACCTCTTGACTGTGTTTCCTATGTCACGAAGAAAATGTATGACACGAGCAAAAAGAATAATGAAGACTTCCCAAAAATGAGAAAAATGTTTTTAAATTGTAGGGAATTAATACAATCAAAATTAAATTATGCTGTATTAGACAATATTGAATACTGGAGATGGGATATGACTTCTGATAGCAAACCTGATGATACTTTAATAATGACCACGCAATACAAAAATGATAAACTAGGATTCAATCTATTTCCGGACAAGGATCCAAAATAACTTATATATTTTTATTTTATTTCTGTGTAAACAATAAGTTTTTGTTAAAATAGTTTATTATATTAAATGTTGTATTTAAAAATATTACCGCATCGATGATTGTAGCAATAAAAATTGTTCATTAAATAAAATCAAATTTAGGTTAAACTATCTAGTAATACTAGTAATTATCAATTATATCACAAAGGTTTTTCCGCATCCAGCTGGCCCAGTAAAAAATAATTGTAAAGGTGACTTCTCTTCGGATAAATTGTGATGAATGACGTGTAAAAGTAAGTCTTTTTGTTTTTCATTAGCGCTTCTCATGAGCTCACAAAAACGATCATTGCTTATGATATTTTCTAGTCTTCTGTCTATTGCTCCTAAGTTATCAAGCGTAGCTATACGTAAATCTTCATTTACCAAAGCATTCGGATTTCTGTACAATTCTTCAAAGGGGTTTGGCTCTGGAATTCTTGTACCAAAGTTTCGAATTTCTGATTCGTCATCCATCAGCTCATCCTCATGACATAATTGTCGGCATATATCAATTGTTTTTTGAATATCAATATTTGACTCAAATTCTTTTCTTTTTTCTAAAATTTCGTTTTCGTGTTCATCGTATATTGTTGTGAATTTCATATCTGCTAATATTTCTGTGTCTTCATTTCTAAATGGCATATGTAAAGTAACCATTTCACTTCTATACTCATTGTAATCATGAGTCATATCATAATTTCTGTAACGAATAACATGAGGGTGTTGCTTTGTGACGTACTCTCCTTTTCTGTTTTTAGTATATTTCTGGGCGTTTTTGATACTTATCGTGACAATCTTCCTTCCAAATATCAGTTGAATCATCATCAAGTTCATCTATTTGTTTTTGTGCTTTTTTTATCCTCTGCCGTTCAATCGGCCAACAAGTTTTAATATACTGAACCACAACTGATGATTTAGACATTGGTAACCTTAGAAGATACCAAGCCGCTTCTTGACTACTCATCTCAATAGTATTCAGCATGTCGACGCTCATTTTACGAGTTATTTCAACAATGTCAAATTCTGGATTCTCATTCATAACTTCTATTATTTTGCGTTGCAAATTGCTAATGCCTCTGTTGGTCTTATTTACATATTCGACGACATATGCTGCACAAGAATACTCTTCGGTAATTATCTGGAAATCCATATTTGACTTTAATACATTAAAAACAAATGGATTAAAAGTATTATGCCATTTTTCCGATGGATGTGGTTTATAAAATATTTTTGGTCTATTAATACCAGCTCTTAGTATATTATTATATTCTTCATCTGATCTGAGATTATTACTTTCATAATAATCATCAATACTGTCATAGTCATTACTTTCTAAGTTGATTCTTATTTCATTATATCTTTTCAAATGTTCTTTGTAAAGTGGATTAATTTTTTCCATCGGTAATAAAATTATTGTAGATTTACACGCCATAAATGGCGCTTCAAATCGGCACATTTGTACAGAAGTAGGGCCAATTTTTTTGTATCATGTAAAAGTGTGCTTATGTGTAAGTAATTTGATATTTCCTGATGCTTCCGACGTTGATACTGACACTAAACTGTTAATCATTTCTATAGATTGTTTTTGATCTTCTCCAAGAATATCTGTGGGAGCATTGTCAAGCCACAAGAGAATATGCGCGTGGGGACTCCCTCGATGTTGAAATTCAATCCTCAAAAAGTAGTTTATAACTCTGAACTTACCAAAAGGACTAAACTTCTTAGATTGCAAAATTGACATTATTACATTAACTAGTTTGTTAAAATAAATAGCACAGGTTACAGCATCATTGTTAACTAATGAACTTTTTTGAATAAAACTAAGTTCTGATGCGACAAAATTTTGTATATCTTCTTTTTCTTCAGCCAATTTATGCAACAATGTTAATAAATCCGGCCACCCTATTTCATTTGCGCTAAGTGTCATGAATGCTGTTGGCTTCCCAAGCTGTCGAATCATTGCAAATAAATCTTTTTTTCTTGTAGACCAGTACCAAACTGAATTGGGTATTGACCTTAAAAAAGCTAAATTGGACTCTATACAGTTATGAATATAATCTTCGGATTGAACTTGTTCCTTAGTTACATTGGTATCTGTACCAACATGTTTAAACGCGATTGTTAAACAGTCACGAACTCGCAGTCTCATTATTTTTACAGCCATGTATAACAAATGATAGGGATCGACGCCTCGACGATCCTTACGTCGCAGTTCACTAGATGCCATCATAAAAGGTGTAACATTGACTGTATCCCTAAATTTCCTAAAGTGTCCCATATAAATACTCGGAAATGACAACTCTTCAGCATGCTCATCAAATAATAAACTTTGTGGAATATTTTGTTGGCCTGGTGCCAATCTTAAATATTTTTCTTCATTCCATACTAAAGTTTGTTGTTGAGCAGTAAGGCTTTCTTCAATATCAATGTTTTCACTGAATTCATCAATA